TCTACCTTTCTCCTTGTTTTCCACATCCCAAATCCCCAAACAGAATGTGGCTGGAAAACTGTTCTAAAGTATCATTGCAGCAAGAATCTATCCTCTGCATTGAAGAAAATAAATCCAAAAGCAACAGTGCCCAGAATGTTCAAAAAGTCTTAGGCTATTTCTAGTCCAGCCACACAAATTTAGGCTTATATTTGTAGAATGATTTACTATCATTCATTAGTGTATTTTATACTTCGCTGAACTTAAATAGGCAAATTATATAAACATTTTATATATAAGCAAAACATGTCAAGTGTCAGGACTCAAAATATGTGTTTAATTAAAGAAATACATCTCTTAAAACCAAGGCCCTAAATACATGTTAAACGATACCCTAATCTGAAGGTAAATGAGATATGCCACCTAAGAGATACTCAGTGACCCACATACATGGTAATACCTCCGTTAATGAGGCAAATTCATTCTAGCAGCGCACTTTAGTGTCAGAAACTCCACTGCCTGATGAAGCCAAAACTCCACTTCCACTTCCTTGGAAGCCATAAGGACCCATCCAAGGAAGACAGAAAAGAAGTGGGTACAGTATGACATTATTTAATATTAAATAAAATTACACCAAACAGGGCCAGAAAACAAGTATTTTGAAGTTCTAGGATAGGGACAGAGAATTAAAAAGAAGCTGGAATCAAAGGGCTAACCTGTGACCCTCTGGGGAAGCAGAGAAAAGGTTGAAAAAGAAGACTGTGCGCTAGACTAGACTAGACTAGTCTGGATTACAGCAGAATAAACTCAGCCCTATTTGGTCACCCCCACAGCCCAGAACAGACTTCGAGAAGGGAGCTGGGTCTGGCCCAGACACATCTCTGCAAGGACACAAACTATCTGGAGAGGAGAGATGGCACCTCTGAGTGCCCCCGCCCTTGCCCCCAGCACCTTTCACAAGAGGCCCCCAAACCCACCAAGGACAAAATCAGGGTAGGAGTTCCACATATGCAATCTCGTTGTGCTCCATATTGCCCCATCCATTAAGAGTCCTTTAGGCCCGGCATGGTGGCTCAAGCCTGTAATCCCAGCACTTTGGGAGGCCGAGGTGGGGGGATCATGAGGTCAGGAGATTGGGACCATCCTGGCCAACATAGTGAAACCCCGTCTCTACTAAAAATACAAAAAAAAAAAAAAATTTTATCTGGGCATGATGGCATGTACCTGTAGTCCCAGCTACTTGGGAGGCTGAGGCAGGAGAATCACTTGAACCAGGGAGTTGGAGGTTGCAGTGAGCTGAGATCGCGCCACAGCACTCTAGCCTGGCAACAGAGCAAGACTCTGTCTTAAAAAAAAAAAAAAAAAGTCCTTTAATAAGGGGCCATCCTTCATTAGTCTGTAGAATTAAAGGACCAAGTACCTTTACCTGGCTGGGGTTCCACGTTGACTAAGTCTCATTGGGACTAAAGTGTAGGTCATTAATGAATGAGACAGTCAGTACATGAAGATGACCCTGATCAGATCCTTGGCTTTCTGGACAGAAGCAAGGATGCTGGGACATGGGTTGACACTGGGCAGCTGAAGGGACAGAGGAGGCAGCCAGGAATTATGAGACTCAGAAATGAGAGGCTGGGGAAACCCTAAATTTCACTGATTTCTTATTTATACCATAAACCATGCAGGACAAACATGCTCTATTCACCGAGGTATTTTTGTCCCGTGCAGCTGTGTGGCTTAGCAGGAGCTTTGCTGTCGAGCCATATGACTCATGCCAACACTACTGCATATGATTTATGAAGACTTAAAGAAAAAGAAAACAGCCAGCTTCATTATGAAGGGGCTTTGTTTTCAGAGGATTTGTTCATCAAGGATCATGGTACCATTTGGTCCTTTCTTGCTTACTCTCTGAGTGAAACAGTGAGCCTGCCTCGGCCAGCAATCGGCCAGAGGGCACCGTCCTGCCTCCCTCCTCCTCATTTGCCCTATTTCCAGCATCAAGCAGGGAACCTCCAGTTTAAGAAGAGAACAGATAGTCATAAACAAAGATCTGCGGCTTTCACCTGCCACAGGAGGTTTAGTGACGATGAAACCTGACAAACTATCAGAGCCATTGCTTGGGCCTGGAACTGCTTACTTCAAAGTTTGGTCTGCAGCCCAAGGCATGGGGAAAATGGTTAAAAAGAGGTGAAGTTTTATGGACACCCAGGCTAGTAGCTTCTGACAGATTGTCTCCCTGACTCACTGAGTAGGACAACATCTCCAGTTGCTTTTCTGAAATGGTCCACAGGGAACATTCAACAGCCCTCCCCACATCTTCATCCCAGTCTCCCCAGCAGGGGTCAGAAAAGAAGAGGCTGAGATCTTGAACTCTAAAAGTTGCTAACTCCTTCCCTAGGAACTTCCCAAGCTGGACTTGACTGGTCCTGTCTCTTTTCTGCTCTTCCTCCCTGTTTCAGCCTCACTGTCTAACAAGGCCAAATTCACATTTATGCCTTGAAAATTGGGAAAATCAGGCCAGTTGATCGCCCAGGGTTGTGGCAGTAACATATAATGGGTGCTTTGTGATAAAGTAGCTTTGACTAAAAAAGCGACTTTGGCAATATCCTGTTTATGTGCTTCCATGAACGCACCGTTACCCACCAATACCCTCACCACAATAGAGTGGAATAAAAGTTCATAAGAATTTGTGAATAATAACATACTCATAGGGCCTGCACTTTGAACACTTTCATCTTAAATTAAATTGTGGGAGCCTCAGGATAAACTTTGTATTCATGTTGTCTAACTTGTTAATAAGATACATAGTTTATCTTATCACTAGGAAAGATGAGAACAAAGCAGAGTTGGAAGACTTGCAAAAGGAACTTGCAATGACAAATTTAAAAATATTAAAAGTACGTGCCATATGCGAACAAGGTTCTATTTTAAGCTCAAAAATAAAAAAAAAATAAAAATTTTGGTGCAGTTTATTTCCCAGCAAAAGTGTTAAATTAAATAGCCTATCTTTTGTTTCATTTTGTTGTAGTTAGTTTGGGTACAGTGCTCCCATGCAGTTTTTGGTTTATTTGTTTAATTTTTGTGTGGTCCAGCCCCTACCCCCACCAACACACACACAAAAGCCCTGAACAATTGGTTACAGGTAGTTGTTTTAATCTTTCCCTCTGGAAGCTTTGAAGATGCTTCCAGCTGCATCAAAGTGCTTCATTGCTCTGCGCATCTCCGCCCAACTTCAAAGCCTCACTGCAGGAATTTGTAGTGCAGTGTGTACCATGTAGTTCTAAAGGAACTATTACATTCTATTTATTGTGCAAATTTTTATGGAGATACCCCGGTATCTTTCTTGACACACCACTTAGCCTCAGAGTGGCTCCTTCTAGCTATTATTAAGAATTATCTAGGAAAATTATCTAAAGAAATAGGTTAGGGTCAGACAGCCTGAAACTAGTTTAGCTGACTTTATGCCCTTCCAGTGTCTACTCTGCCACACCCTGCCAAACTAACTATTCTAGAAGATCTATCAGCAGAGTAGTTGGACAGCTTTCCCCTAGGAGCTGGGAGGAAGCTAATTAGTTTTGATTTAAGTTGTGATTTAAAAAACAGTTTCACCTTTATATAAATTATAGCTAAAAGATTATAAAAGGAACAGGAGTCCTGACATAGAAGAGCAAATAGATGCTCTTGGTTGGGCTGTGTAGTAGAACTTTGCAATGATGGATGTGGTCTCTAATTCTGTGCTGTCCAACACGGGAGCCACTGCCACAGGTGGCTACTGAGCAGTTGAAATGTGGCCAGTGTGACTGTAAGACTGAGTTTTACATTTCATTTAATTTTAATTCATTTAAATTCCCATAAGTGGCTACTGTATTGAACATCCCAGCTCTAGAAAACTAACTGTGTATGTGTATGTGTATATGTGTGTTTAGAAAATCTAGGGCCGGCCTGGGCAACAAGTGAGACCACATGTTTATTAAAAAATTAACTGGGCTTGGTGGCATGTGCCTGTAGCCCTACATGCTTGGAAGGCTGAAATGGGAGGCTTGGAAGGCTGAAATGGGAGGCTTCCTTGAGTCCAGGAGTTCAAGGCTATAGTAGCTATGATCATGCCACTGCACTCCAGCATGTGCAGTAGAGACCCTGTCAAGAAAAAAACAAAAACAAAAACAAAACAAAACAAAACAAAAAAACTTCAAAAAAACTAGGACCAAAGTGGGAGGAAAGAGAAGGAAGGAAAAAGAAGAAAAAATAGTACCTACTCAGAACTTACTGGAAAAATCCTTCTAACCTGTCACCATAATCTCTTCACTCAGGCAATAAGGAGATCCTGCAATCAGTCCTAAAGACAATAGCATCATCATTTATTTTCTGTAATCATTAGGGCACAAGGCTGCCATGCCCACACACAAGCTGGGCACTTCCCTGCATTCATCCCTACTGATTGATAGCATTTCAAGTAATCTTGTGCTAGGCAATGGATGAGGGGAAAAGGTAATGAAATTGCCTCCTCATTTACCAACCCAAGCCAATAATGTGTCATTGTGCTTGGCTGTCAGTTTTATACATCAAGGGTGCCCAATAGCAGGTAGGACACCCGCCCTTTTAAAACAACATAAATCAGGGGTTGTACGAGTAGAGAGGGGTCACCAAGAGGCCACAGGACTCTCAGGCCTGTGCACTGTCTGATTTGGGGCCTTCAACTTATTCCGTGAGCTGGCAGAAACATGGGATTCTGCATACTTTCTTGGAAACTCCGAGCTGTGTGAATGCCATCAGCAAGCTCCCAGCTGAAAGGAGGAACGCACCACAGAAAGACTAAGTAGATGTGACTGTCCATAAATATGTGATAGAAGATCCTTGCTGGTTTGAAGTTGGCGGTGGGCGGGGGACGGGGGTGCTCCAAGCACAGGCAGCAGGAAGATAGCCCTCCGACCCCCGACAACTCACCGGTTTCCCTCTGTTCGTTTTCCTGCTACGTTCTAATTAGGAAACACTGAAGAAATCTTGAAAAGTATAAAGAACCAGACATTAATAAGCTTTTCTCCATCCAGGAAAAAAAAAAAAAAAAAACTTGTTAATTAACGCACATTTCACTTCTATAAAGTTGTCTTTTTTTTCTTTTCCTCCTGATATACGCATCTGGGCAGAGCATTTAGCAAGGTACTGAAATGTTTAACTGCTGCTACCACTGCTGCGGTACTTTCTCGTCAAGAGAGATTTGCCTTTTTCATCATGAATGCTTTTGTTTTTCCCTGTGGCCAGCTGCTACAAAGATGCAGTCAATTTAGATTAAACAGGCTGAGAAGTGCTATTCAATATGTCAGCCAGGCACACTTCTCTAAATACAGTGTGCAGCAGGTACAGCTTGAGAAGAAAAGTCAGGGGGCTGTTCACAGAGGGGCACGCACTTTGTTTTAAGTCTGGGAACAAGAGACGGATCCTTGGAGTGCAGATGTGGGTTTTTCCATATGCAGCGCTGGGAGCAGCTCTTGCCCTTTCTTTCTGCCTGTCTTCACCCTCATCCCGCTCCTCCCCTTCCCCTGCTGCCACTGGTTTCTATCTCCATTGTTCCCTTAAGCCCAGCAGCCAATGTGCAGCCAGGCCCAGCACACGCTCCGCAGCCAGCAACTTCCTCTGAAGCTGCAACGCATAATTACAACCAGCTGCTCTGGGCTGCTGGCTGGCCAGCTCTGCAAACAAGCGTCCCGATACCTCGAGTTCCAGGGAGGCAACAGCCTGATCTTGGCAGCAACAAATACTCTGAAGGAAGTGCCCACACCCTTGTAAGAAGAGGGAGCAGCCCTTCTGTCTCTCCTGTGGCTTCCAGAGGCCAGCGCTGGTTCGGGTCGGTTTCTCCTCTTGCAAGAGACTCTTCCATGTCAGAGAGAGTTGGTTCTATTGTTAGTGGGAAGGTGCCTGCTTTCACCTGCAGCTGCCGTCGTCTGACTGGCCTATTGTCTGACTGGTGTGACCACCAGCAGAATGGCATGTCTTAGGCAGTAGCATTAGGAGCCCTGGCTTCTGGTCAGCGTCTCAGCTGAGGCATTTTGTGAATGTGTACAGAAAGATAGGGGTAGGAAACGTGCACTGCCCTCAGCTAGCATGAGGCTAAAAGACAACTGATGTTGCTTAAAAAAATACCAGTGAAAATCCAAACAAGCCTAATTTAACTTCAGTTAGGAGAGTAGCATGTGGGCAAGAAAGCTGTGGGTTCGTCCAGGCCCCGCCTCAGAGCTGCGGGTTCATTTTGGGGCCTCAGTGATCTTTCAGGCTTGGCTACAAGGATGACTCTGATCCAAAATTAGGCTTTGAATGTGTAACACAAGGCTCTCGGCCCCACCCACCGCCTCTCTCTGCCCTATGCTGTTTCTTTAGAGCCTGGCTGTGGGCCAGAGCTAGCCCTTCTGGCTCTTGGGGGAAGGGCTGGCCACAGTGTTCTGTTTCCAGGCAGGGGTTTAGCGTGGGTGAAGGTGCATGGTGCAATTTGGGAAGAGGAGGGGAGATCAATACACTTGGAAAGGGCGCCCAACCCTAGAATCACCAGCCCCGTCTATCTAAAGCTGGAGAGGGCCCTGCAAGGGGCAGGTGTGCCACCTGGGCTGCCGCATTGCCCCCACCCACCTGTGCCTCCCAGCCTAGGCTCCTAATAGTCCCGCTGAGAGCGAGCCAGGCCAGGAGGACTGCCCTGTGATGCCCAATAGCAGCCTCTGAGGTGGGAAGCAGCTGGGAGTCTGCTGTTGAATAGGAGCTGCTCATTTTACAGGGCAATTTCCCAGGGATGCCTGCCCCGGCAGTAGTGGCTCAAGTGGGGCAGACAGGAGCATCTTTGAGAGGGTTCGTTCTTTCTGTCAGCTTGGGCAGCCATGCCATCCATGGCCAGCAGCCGCCAGCTGTCTATTGTATTGGGTTTCCCATTGGCAGCCCTCTTTGTTTCAGTATTTTAAAATCTCAGGAAACTTTTCTGGCTAATTGGTACTGGGCAGGTACTTGGGGGTACTTGCTGGGAAGGAATAATAGCAGACAGGGTTGGCAAATGGGATGCAGAGAATTAAGTCGTTGTCGGATATGTGTGAGCAATGGGGTTGGTACCTTGTCAGCTATAGCTTTTCTGTGTCTCTTCGTCAGTTTCTAATAAACTTGCAATTTAATTCCTGACAGGAAAAAAGTATCAGTTTAAGGTGCTCTTTTGGTGTTCATCCCATGCTTTCCCTTCTGATTCTTAAGCCTGGCTACACTTTAGAAGCTCATACAAAACAAGCTCATGTCCGTAATAGCATCACGACACAGCTATTTCAGCCTGCAGATGACTTGTGCAGCATGACTGGATCCTCCACTTAGAGCAGTCTGGAGGGCCCGGTTGCGCAGTAATATGATTTTCAGCAGGTTATTCTTCGGGCTTACGAGGAACAAGCTTAACAAGCAAACAGTCATATCTGAGCTCTCACTTTCCTGTAAACTTTTCTTGAGAACCTCAGAAATGAGTGTTGCTTTAGAAGCTTTCCTAGAGAAGAAATATGGAGAAGATACCTGTAGCCCTGTGAGATCAGTAAGTGGAGGGGAAAAAAAAGATGTACAAAAACAGAAAGAGAGAGAGAAAAAAGCCAGTCTTCAGGGTTATAGAAAATGAAGTTGAGAAGGATAAGCACTGGGTTTCAAAGGCTTACATTATTCTAACTGTCCTTAATTATCTGCATGGACTTGACAGTTTACTGGTTTCTTCTAGTTTAGGTTTTCTCATTTGTAAAATAGAGGAGATGATATTTCTCTGCCATTCTACCATGGGGAAGTGTGTGTGTGTGTGTGTGTGTGTGTGTGTGTAGTGAGGGTGAGAGAGGAAGCATGCTAAAAATGTTAAAAGTAGTGTAGAAATGCATTTCGCAGTAGCAAAGTTAACTATCGGTAATAATAGCATCTACTTCTGCACCTTCTATAGGTTATCTGTTTATATTTAAATGAATCATCAGGTCCAGCCATGGAAGTGGATTTAATGAAATACTGTTGACCAATGAATGAAGAAATATAAGTACTTTTTCATCTTCTTATTTTGAGAGAAAAAAAAATCATATTTTCTGTAATTTAAAAACCATCAGATGAGGTTTTATTTTACCACATAAAGGAAACTATGAAGGCTTTCGGGCCTCTTCCAGCATCTCCTAGTGCTTTCCAAAGATGTTCCTGACAGTCTGAGAGCAAGGTATCATGTATCACCCTTTCCACCAACAGATGGAGAAACTGAAGCATGAAGAGGTGACATGAGGTCACCGAGGGAGCAGGTGATGGACTGGCTTCTGGTCTCTTGCTCCAAACCCTGCTCCAATTTGTCTCTCTTATAAACAGCCATCAATAACTTTATTTCCAGGCTGAACACTGCCAACCAGGACCCACAATGTGCTGAGCATTTGTATGCAAATGAGCTCTCCACCATCCTGAGGAGTACACGGGGTGCTGAACAGGAATGGAGGGAAGAGAAATAATTGTTACTACTGGAGTCTAAAATGCCATCCAAACCCAGTTTCACAGTGAAATTCCAGAAATGAGGAAGTAATGAGTGTTAAATGTAATATCATCAGTCAATCCACCACTAACAAATCACGATCCTATAAACCTAATGGCAGGATTTCCTAAACATTTACTTTATTTTTTTATATATATTTTTTGAGATGGAGTCTCACTCTTCCCCCCAGGCTGGAGTGCAATGGCGTGGTCTCGGCTCACTGCAACTTCTACCTCCTGGGTTCAAGCGATTCTCCTGCCTCAGACTCCCAAGTAGCTGGTACTACAGGCATATATCACCACACCTGGCTAATTTTTGTATTTTTAGTAGAGACGAGGTTTCATTATGTTGACCAGGCTGTTCTCAAACTCCTGACCATGTCATCCACCCACCTCAGCCTCCCAAAGTGCTGAGATTACAGGCATGAGCCACTGCACCACACCCAGCCACATTTGCTTTATTTAAAAATATATTTTTGACACTAAGAGATTTTCCTTCCCTAATATCAGAACTGAGCCAATAATTAGATGGATGGCAAAGTAATTAAAATGTCATGTTAATGTTCATATGTTGTGGTAATGCATATCACCAAGTATAAGTCAACCAAATGCTTAGGTTGATGGAACATTCCTATTTAAAAATTAAAGTTGTGACCCATTTTCCTTCACATATTGTCTGCTCAAATATGTACCTGTTCCCTTTAGGTTTTCAGCCCAACTCAGCCACTGGCTTTGTGACCTTCGGCAAAGGCCCTGAACCTCAATCTCCTACTCTGCAAATGGGAGCAGTCAGGTTTGTCTCAGATTTTTTGCAAAGGCCAATTGACTTCATGTTTGTATAGGTATTGGAAACAACCCCTGGCAGGTAGACAGTGCTTAGTGAATACGATTTCCTTCCTCCCCACCTTTGAATATGTTTGTTACGAAATGCTTGAGTTTTTGGAGCCAAGGTAAACTTTCATATACCTTGCTCACAATTCCGTAAGGTAGCTAAGGAAGGTGCGATTATGCCTTTCACATATAGAAGGAAACTCCGTCTCTGAGAGGTAAAGTAATTTGCTCAGAGTCACGCTGCAAATTGGTGCAGAACTAGAAGCCTGGCGCCCTAATTCCTAGTCCTGTGATCTTTCCATTAACTTTTTATTGCCACCATTGCCTCCGCCTCAATGAAAGCTCCTGTTGTAGCCCACCCCAAACCAATTCCAGCTCCCAGGACGTGGCTCCTTTGTGCCTCTTTTCACCTCTCCCCTTGCTGTTGCCCCAGCTTAAATTCCATCCCATTCTTCAGTAACTTCCCTCTACCTCTACCTGGTTCTGGATGCTCAGAGACTAGTCTACATAGTGTATGAGTCCAAATGACTTTGGGAGGAATGTTCTTTTAAACAAAAGAGGTTGAATTAGATACCACCATACATATTGTGTTGTTAAATATCTACAGCATGATAAAATCATCCCAAATGTCACCAATCCCTGGGGAGCTTATTAATAATTAAGCATTTTTAGTTCACTTAGAAATGCAGATTCCATTTAACAACAGAATGTACACTAAATATGTCCATTATATTGCAGCTTGCAGCAGAATATGTTAGAGATCTCAGCTGGGTTTCTCCAGGACAGATGACAAAGTTAATGCAGGTATCAGTCTTTCCTAAGGCAGCAGAGGAGCCAAAAGCAGCATGCTGGATTGGTTTATAGGGTCTGCATTTATTAGGAGTGTTTATTAGGATGACTAATAATGGAAGAGACAACTTGGCAAGGGTAGGAGTGGATTGGAGGAGAGTCGGGAAAAGCCCAAAGGAAATGGGATGATCTCGAAAAACAAAAGGAAGGGCAGCAACCCAGGGTCTGTGGTGTGTGAATCATTTTTAAGCTTTTCAAGGAATAGTCAAACAAAACTATCATTTTATATGTTCCACTTGCTTGGAAGTCCATTTACTTTTTTTTTTTTTGGCTTATTCCAGAAAGATAAATAGTCGTGGTTACACACACACACACTACACACACTACACACATGTACTTTTCACACACATACACACACACTTCACACCCATACACACACACACTCACATATACACACATGCACAAGTACTTTTCTTTAAAACGCAGTTTTATTTCCTGGGCAAAGACAGAACAGTGAATATCAAGAAAGGAAGAATGGGGAAGAAGGGAAGCGCAGGAAGGAAAGATTGGAGAGAGGAAGGCAGGCAAGAAAAGAGGCTGGCAACCATCTTTGTCTCTTCTAGAGATTTACTGTTTCTTCCTAGGCCCACTGAAAAACGTTCCTTTTGAAGGTGATAGAGAGGAGGGAGGAAAAGAGAGAGAAATTGAGATAAAGAGGAAGTGGGTCGCGGTTGTGGTGAGATGCAGGGAAATGAGTTGATCCAGGCATTAGTGTTGGAGCTCTCACTCACTGTGCAATGTGGGATCTTAGGCATGTTATTTAACTTCTCTGTCTAGGCCCCTTTCCTGCTAGCAGAAGTTTTCATGATCTTAGAGACTCCCTCTAGCCTTCGTGTTCCAGAAACCTAGGCTTGAAGCAGGGAGAAGGCCCCTTCTTAATGATACCTGAAAACTTTTGCAAGCTTTTAGCAGAAAATGACTGTGGATAAATACTTCTATTTCCTCGTTTTCCAAACGGAAACTATATTGCAAGCTATGTCACTTCTTTCCTCCCTCACTTAAAGCACCTGCCACACTAATAAAAGAGTCATAAATTTAGTTGTAGGGGCTCCAACAAAGGAGCAAAATCCCCTCCTACTAGGGCAGCCAGGCTGTCACCAGGAAGTAAAGGCTGCAGGGGAGACTGCTCTTGTGTAGCGTGTAGCCAGTCTGGGTGCTGGAGGGGCAGCAGGGCCGAGAAGCAGCACAGAGTGAACATGGGCAGTGGACTCCGCTAACATTGCAGTTTCTTAATTTCCTTCCTGAGATGATTGGGGTTCAGGGTCCAGTGAGTACCGCCTCAAAGGGACTTCCCGGTCTGAAAATGGTGTGTGCATGTCTGGGGAATCATTCCCCAGGTGTTCTCCAAAACCAACACTTTCTCTTGTTTGGGGAGAGGGCAAGGAGTGTTATTTATTGCACAGCTGCCTTGAGAGAATTAGAGAGGGAGCTGAGCTTCAAAACAACTTGTGAACTTAGAGACTATGAAATGGTGGACAAAGATGATTTAAAGCCAAATAGGTTAATAAACTCAATTATCTGGATGGTTTTCATTAGCCATTGGTTTTCCTTTTCTGAACATCACAGTTGTTTTTTCCTGCTATGAACCAGCACATCCCCAGTGAGAACAGTGTTCACTATATTTCAACATTCATAGAAGCAGGTGGTGAGCTTTCCCGTTTTGCCATAACACAGACACACACACATCACCACCACCACCAATAACAACCTGATAATGCAAAGAATTGCTTTGCTCTGTCTCTTTAAATAATCTAAAAATACTCCTTGGGTACCATCAAGGCTAATCATCACAATTATGCTTATAACCAAGCGGGTACCATCACCTATGGTCCATATGTTGCTTCAGATAGGGACTGCGGGGTCATATTAGATAAGGCATGGCCTCACTCTTCAGTAGGATTAACAGAAAATGTGTGCACGTGTGTGTGTGTGTGTGTGTGTGGGAATTGTTACCAGGTTTAGCTCCTGTAATTTCTCACACTTTAGGTTTCTGGCAGAGAAAAGCATCTTTGAAATTTCTAGGGTTCTAAGCATAATCACAGATTTTTCAAGCTGGCAGGAATAGGGCCCAACCAACTCACCACATAGATGATTAAATTGTGGCTCCAAGAAGTTAGCAAGATGAAGGGTGGGTCACCCAGCTGGTTGGTCAGAGATCCAGGAATGGAATCTTGGCCTCCAGGTTCCTTATCCTGTGCTCTTTCTCCTCAGTGTGGATTTGAAATCTGTTCTGCAGAATTTCCTTTAGGTTTTGTACTCAGCTGGAGACAATACATCATGTTACGGGTTTATATATCCAAAGTCTTCACTAGTCAAATGTTCCCCAGTGCTCTCCGCGCTGGTCCACACTGTCGCAAGGCCACATCTCTGCAAAAAGATATGGCAGGAGCACTCGGCTCCAACAGAACACACATGTTTTTTCATCAATATCCCTTTCTTTACTCTGAGGTTAATTTCTGTTTGGCCTCAATTTCTTTTTTATCTGTGCCTATTCATTTATATTAGTTTGCATATCAACACTTACATAACTCATCTTTAAATCTGGGAGACACTGAATATAGCTAAATGCAACTCATAGAACCTGAAAAACAATCTAAGTTTGTGTAGTATTTCTTGTGTAGTATTTCTTATCCTCTTCCCATAGTGATATAAGTGGGAACTTTGAAATCATGTCAGTATCAAACCTCCCTTCTGAAGATGAAGCTAAATGACCTGCCCAAGGATATTACACACAGCTGGGAATGGAATGCTCTCCCTAGACTCACTGCCTTTTCTTCTTTCGATTATGCCATAATACTTATGAACCTACCAAAATATACGTTTACACCCTCTGCTCTTTTCCAAACCCCTGTTATAGATACTAGAAGTCAATGAGATGTACATGACATGTGCATAGAAAGAATACGGAGATGACAGGATAAGGCCTGAGCAACCCAGTTTGTGCTGTTCAATGAATGAGCTACAAGCCACATGTGCATATTTAAGTTAAAATTAAACGTTTAGTTCCTTAGTTGTACGAACCACCTTTCAAGTGTTCGGGAGCCAGAAGTGTGTAATATGGCCACCGTACTACACAACATAGATATGGAACACTGCTGTCATGGCAGAAACTTCTAGACCTTTGGGCATCAGGACCAAATAATAATAATTACCATATACTGAGCCCCAATAGTATACCACACCCTGTCACTCGTGTTTAATGCCTATTATCTAATTAATCTCTGTAAAAGCCATGATGTATTATTATTTGTATTTGCCAGAGGAAGAAACTGACCTGTAAAATTCTTAATAATTTGCCCTCAGTGTTTGATAGTAAATGGCAGAAATATGAACACAGGCCTGTCGATGGCAAACTATAATATGACCTCCATTTCTCTGTGAGGAGTCATAAAGACTGATAACAATCTGGCAAACATTTATTGAGCAGCTACTATGTGCCAGGCACTGTTCTAACAGGTAGCATACGTATTCATAGACTCCTCTATAAGGTAGGTATGATTATTATTCTAATTTTATAGGTGAAGAAATGAGCTTAGGGAAGTTGAGAACTCTTGTGATCATTGAGCTACTAAACAATAGAGTCGAGATTTGAACCCAGGCCATCTGACTCTATAACCTGAGTTCCAAACTGCCACACTCCACTGAGGAACAATTGGTGGTTGTATCTGGGTTGTATGAAAGTCAAGGACTGACCTGTGGCTTACGGTTCCAATCTTTGTTCACAGGGCCGGTTGCTCTTTCCAGGTGGGCTCCCTCGCGGGGCCAGTCCTCAAATGCCTCTGGTCAGAAGGATCTGCTCTGCTTCTCCCTGCAGCTGGCCAGCTGTTGCTCTCTCTGTAAAGCTGTTACTACTAGAAGTCATCACAAAACGCAGCGTCTGAATAAGTCTTAACATGGGTCCTTTTTCCTGCTCCTTCAAGTTGTCCCACCGCAGCTCACCACAGGGCAACTTTAAGAGCATCCTGTTGACATTCCTTCTTAACATTTGGCCAGCCCAGAAGGCATCCCTTCACTCCTGGTGGGCTGGCTGCATTCCAGGGCATGTTGGTGAATCTAGCATATCCTTTAATGGGAAGCAGTCTAATAGGCTCGTGCTTGGCTCAAAAAGTTGGCGGTGATGTTTGCGGCATTGGTCTGTGGATTTTTATTTAGTTTGGTCTAAAACCAGGAGGCATATGGACACCATATTCCATGTGCCAGGCTCATCAGGATATTCTGATTTTTTTTTCTCTATTTTTCCATCGCTTTGATATTTTTAGAGCATTACTTCTATCTAAGAATTGAAATGCTGTGGTGATTTTCAATTGTGTTTCAGTGGTGAAATTCTTTGGTTCCCAATAGGATTTCCTTGCATGGGTTCCTTGCACGGGTTCCTATTTTGTCTTGGTCAACGTTTTGACTTTTCACACTTTTTTTTTTTTTTTTTTTTAGATGGAATCTTGCTCTGTCGCCAGACTGGAGTGCAGTGGTGCGATCTCAGCTCACTGCAACCTCCGCCTCCCAGGTTCAAGTGATTCCCCAAGTAGCTGGGATTACAGGCATGTGCCACCACATCCGGCAAGTTTTTGTATTTTAGTAAAGATGGGGTTTCACCGTATTGGCCAAGATGGTCTCCATCTCCTAACCTCATGATCCGCCTGCCTCGGCCTCCCAAAGTGCTGGGATTATAGGCGTGAGCCACCGCGCCTGGCCTTCACACACTTAGCCTGTCTGAAAGACAAGCCAAAATCCTTTGAAGGCTGCTTCAGTGAGGCTGGGTCAACAGTCACCATATGAAAATTCATAGATGACTTTAAGAGAAGATGGTCTGTGAACTGTAAAGTTGGAAGTGCCTCTCCTAAGACCGGGAAACTTAAGTTTCTTTAGGTACTCTGGAACAAATAAATACTCAAACCAGCCTCAAACTATTGGTGGTATGTGCTGGCTGTGGGCAATACCAGCAAATAACTGGCAGGATCTTCCTGGGTTCCTATAGAGCTTCTTTAGTGAGGTCAGTAACTGGCCATGTGGAAGCCAACTCATGCTATCAAAGGCTTTGTAAACTTGGAGGGTACAATGCACTTCCTCCATGTGACATGCCACAAGGACCACAGGAAAGTCACTCCCACCTCCCCACTGCAGCCCAAATAACACGGCTGTCTTACAAGAGTGCAACTGACCTTATTGTGCAATCATTGGCTTGCCAGGATGCTGACCTGAATTTTGCTACAACAGAAAAGTGTAGAAAGCTTGTGAGAGCTGTCTTATCATTCTCAAATTTTTTTCTCCTTCAAAAAAGATGATGAACTTGAAATCTGGCTGCCTGTTCTTGGCACCCCATATAATAATGAGTCGGAGATATGGCTATCTAACTAGCGTCTTCCATTTCAACTAAAAATTTTTCTCAGGTGCAGGACTGGGACTTACAACTCATGATTCCAGTTCCAACTTCCTTAAGGTGGAACACATTCATATTTTAAAACCAAATTGACATGGATACTTCAAGAGGTAGTACATTCCCTCTCATTGGAGAGACTTGAGCACAAACTGGTTGGCTATTTGTTTATTTTTATTTATTATTTTTCCATCTCCCTCTCCTAGTACTGGTTGGCTATTTAGAAGGCATTCTATGATGGGGATTTAAGAACTGGTCAGACGGCCAAATTAGATTACCCAATCAAACCCTGACAGGCTTTGATTCTAGCTTGTTCTCCAGTCTGCAAATGTCTGTATCCATAATGTTCTACTCTTTAAATAGACCATGCCTTTCCTTCTCAGGGTCTTTCTCTAGGCTGTGTGCATGTGTATGTGTTTTTAAATTTTCCTGGAACATCAATACATCCGAGCCCTGTACATGGCTAGTGCAGACTTTTTTTTAATTGTTCAAATGTTAATTTAAATGTTTTCTGCTTAGAGAGGCCATTTCTAATCTGTCTGTCTATATAGATACATTATGTTATTCTCTATCTCTGAATCTAATTGTCCCCCCAGATGTACGCAGCTTGTAAGTATACCTGTAACTGTTTGTCAGTTGGTTGGCTGTAGCCCGTAGGAGAGACCTGTGTCTATTTTATTCATTAATGTATATCTGTGTTTAGTATATAACAGGCACTTAAATAATTTTCAAATATCTGGCTGAATGAATATTAAAATCAGATTAAAGTCATTTATAGAAACTACGCTGCAGAATTTTTTAGCTGGAAGACATATTTAGAGACAATCTATTCCATTGTTTGCCAGTGAAGTATAAATACTTCAGTTTCTTCTTTCCTTACTCTGCAAGGTTGATGGTTGAGCTATATACATTTCTAAGTGCTATATAATAGCTATTTTTGATTAGGTCACCTGTTGGGACTTGTTTACTGCATCATCAGAAATCCCAGCGAGGGAAAAGAGAAGTTTTGTTTTGTTTTGTTTTGTTTGCTTTTTATACAATATCCAGGGCTTGGAAATGTATTTGTCGTCTATCACTTTCTTTCCAGATCATTTGGAATAATTTATCTTCCTTCAGACTTCATACAGCTCCAGCTTGTCTGTGGGGAGTGGGTGGGGCCTGAGGTCTTCCTCTGGTCCCGTGGGTGGACAATGACCTTGCCTGTCTGGCTCTTGAGCACCATGGTGAACTCTCCAGGTGGGGGCTGGCCACACTGAGTGTGTGTGGGACCAAAGTAGTAGGCACCAATGACCAGATGCATCAGCAACAAAGAGGGAGGCGGGCAGGTTCCTGAAAATAGAAAGCACATCACAAAATAGATGACGAGTTGATAATGCCTTGAGGCCTTTGTTCAGGAACACTCCGGCACTATAAAGGGAAAAATGACAGTGCCATATTCTTCTGTGAAGTGTGAGTCGGTTTTTCTTCAAGAGTTCTTCCCAAAGAAGGCCTTGTGGGTTGTGGCTAACTCAGTTTTCCATTTTTATCTAGATTTGTTCTTTAACGCAAGTGTTATTCTTTTCCAAGGCTTGCTGTATCATCACATTAACAATAAGATAAACTTGACAAAAATTCACTGAAAACAATAAATGTGGTAATTGCATATTCTTGTCCTAGGTATTCCCTTTTTGTTCTCAATGAAAAAAGCAGTTCCAGCAGTTGTGTATGCTGTATCATTTGTTCACCTTAAATAAATACTTTTGAATCTAAAAATATAGCAGAAATAAAACTTTCTGAAAAAAATAAAAAGCTGAAACAGTGTCACATCAAAAATAAGAAATGGATTTTAGGGGATCAGGATGGTTTTCAAGAGGTTGATGTTTTCTGACAAACCAACCCCATTACAGGCCACTATCTAGGGGATCCAAAGTCCACACCAAATAACCAGCCTAGAACTCTAGCAGACTAGGATAAACACCCACTCAGATATCTTAGATTCGTTTATAATTAAAAATATGAGTTAACTATGCTCATTGGCAGATATTTCATCAAAGTACAGATTTCAAGTAGCATTTGGTCAGCCCAAGATTATTATCTAGTGATTTATTTTAATTAGCTTTGCTTGAATTAAAAACGTGACTCTTTTTTTTTTTTTTCCAGATGAGTCTTGCTCTGTTGCCCAGGCTGGCATGCAATGGCACTATCTCAGCTCACTGCAACCTCTGCGTCCTGGGTTCAAGCGATTCTCCTGCCTTAGCCTTCCGAGTAGCTGGGATTACAGGCGCCCAGCTAATTTTTTGTATTTTTAGTAGAGACAGAGTTTCACCATGTTGGTCAGGCTGGTCTTGAACTCCTGACCTCAGGTGATCCACCTGTCTCAGCCTTCCAAAGTGCTGGGATTACAGGCGTGAGCCACTGTGCCCAGCCAAAAACATGATTCTTAAGTGTGAGCAATGGTGAAAATTTGGAAGACTTCTACTAGATAGTGGTGCACAAGAGTTTGCCACTGCTAGGGTCATGGACTCAGCCTCATGTCTCTATCTACAGGTAACCCGTCCTACAACTGACCCAGGAAGCTTCAGAAAGAAGCAAAGTGACCTGACCACTTTAGCATTCACACCTGATCCGTGGAGCAGCCTGGCTCTGTACCCTTCAGGTCATCATAACCTGTCTCCTCCGATTCACCTGCAGCCTTTTTAGAGGCAGGCTGCCAACACAAAGACAGATCTGACACAGCCTCCTCTTCTGTGCTCACACTTCCCCCATGACATGCCGGAACCAACACATCAGAGCAGACACACTCATAATAAGACCAAAAAGCAGTGACAGTGCTGACAATTTTACACCTAGGCCAGGTGCCAGAACCGACTGTGGGGAGGAGGTGCAGGGAGGGAGGGGACACCCTACTCTCAACACTTTTTTGAAAACACAGGTTAGGGTTACTATTAACTTGGTGCTACTAAGAGATTCTGGTTTGAGTTTTGTTTTGTTTTGTTTTTTGTTTTTTTCCCCCTAGATCCTTGGAAGGTGGGGCCTCAGGTGAGGTCAAAAAAAAGTTTTTAGACCCCCGACATATACGAAACTAGCAGAGCTGATTAAGTGGGGGACAGAACCCTTATTAGCCCCGCATTGGCCAATGGAAGCCTGGGACTATGTTGCCGTTTTGTTCATCTATACAGCATCTATGCACTTCAAATAGGCTGAAATATTTTTATCTTACAGTTTTTTTGTGAGTCAGGAATTCAGGGATAGCTTAGCTGCATGATTTTGGCCCAGAGTCTCTTACCAGGCCAAGCTCTTGGCCAGGGCTGCTGTCATCTGAAGGTGTGATTAGCATTAGAGAATCCTCTTCCTAGCTGGCTGACTCACATGGCTGGTGAGTTGCTGCTGGCTGATGGTGGAGGCCTCAGTTCCTTGAAACATGGCCACTCCAAGCAACTACTTGAGTGTTCTCATGACATGGTGCCTAGTTTTCCTCAGAATGAGTGATACAAAAGACAGCAAGGTGGAAGCCACAATGCCTTTTATGGGCTTGAAAGTCACACTGTCATTTTGCAATATTCACTTGATCACACAGGTTAGCCCTGCTTCATAGGGGAGGAGAATATATAAGAACATAAATACCAGGAGGCAAGGGTCACTGGAGGGCTTCTGGGAGGCTGGCAACCACAGCTGCCTGTTGGTCCTGTCACCGCCTCTGGGAATCAGTCTGCCCAATGCCTGGACTTCTAACAGCTATACAAATTCGATGCTCATGGAAATTTTCCAGTATCCTTTTAGAGAAGGGTCCACAGCTCCTGACCTACCTGCCTCAGGTGGATGCTGGCTCAGTCCCTTGCCCCAGCCACCACACCTCTGCTTGGGTGGCAGTGTGCATGCGGGGATGGCTAGGAAGGAGGCCCTGATGAGCCAGACACACAAATGGCTCAGAATGCGACTTTAAAGCCAGGCCCACCCCCAGAGACTCTTCCAGCTCTAAAATGGCCATCTAAACCTAAGTAAGTGTCTGAGTTACACCTGTGAGGCTCTGGGGAGAATGCGGCCTCACTGGATTTCTGCTCTTTTCCTGG